TTTCTTTTTTCTCAATGAATTATATATATTAATTTAAAATTTCATTTTTGTTATCATCATCACATACAATGTATTTTTTTTATATGTAAACAACAACAATTAGGGGCTCAAAAATCATTTATTATGATTAGCAGCACCGTAAATAAAGATATTTTCACAATAACAATTAAAGTTGCATCATCATTTTTATAAAACAACAACAAATTAAATTAACAATATAAAAATATATTTTAACATATTACATTTTAACATTTAACACAAAATCGTTACAATTTTTTCTTTAAATATATATTAATATTGAAATGCCAAGTATTTTTTACGTCATTGGAATATTATATTACTAAATTCTCAAATTAAATTTATTGTACTTGGAAAACATTTTAAGCATTGTTACAATTTATGAATATAATTTCACCAGACGCCGCTAGAGGCGCTGCTTGCGAGTGAAAGTAGAAATTTTGCAAATAAAATTGCAAAGAATATTTATTTCAAATCAAATTCAAACCAGAAATCTTCCCAGTAGTATAGTAAATAACTTCCTAAAGTTTCACGGCGATTGGATAATCTTACCTTTTAAAAACATTCATCGTGTGAACAAACTAACATTCATTGTGTAAACAAACCACGTGTTAATTATTAACCAATCAAATTCATTTATCGTCGCGACCAGTGCTGCGCCCAAGCGGTAAAAGACTGGAACTAACGCTTTTTGGTTTTTTATTTTTTAAAAAAAGCACATTTACTTTTTTTAGTTTTTTGAATAGCCTATATGTTAAACGAAATCTTCAGCTACCTACATGCGAAATTCCATAATGATTGAGTCGGTCGATTTTGCGTGAAGCGATAACAAACATCGATTTCGCATTTCATTTTTATAGATATAAATTTATAGATGTATTGTGCTGTAAAAAACAATATCATACGCAATATATATATAGATATAAGGATTTCACCAGACGCCGCTAGAGGCGCTGCTTGCGAGTGAAAGTAGAAAATTTGCAAATAAAATTGCAAAGAATATTTATTTCAAATCAAATTCAAACCAGAAATCTTCCCAGTAGTATAGTAAATAACTTCCTGAAGTTTCACGGCGATTGGATAATCTTACCTTTTAAAAACATTCATCGTGTGAACAAACTAACATTCATCGTGTAAACAAACCACGTGTTAATTATTAACCAATCAAATTCATTTATCGTCGCGACCAGTGCTGCGCCCAAGCGTTAAAAGACTGGAACTAAGGCTTATTGGTTTTTTATTTTTTAAAAAAAGCACATTAACTTTTTTAGTTTTTTGAACAGTCTATATGTTATACGAAATCTTCAGCTACCTACATGCGAAATTCCATAATGATTGAGTCAGTAGATTTTGCGTGAAGCTATAACAAACATCGATTTCGCATTTCATTTTTATAGATATAAGGATATATTTCTCTCTCGATTTCTTCAAGTCTATTTTTGAAACTATGTATTGATATACACATGGTATAATGTGAAGAAAATCAGTTTATAAACTTACCTCTTGGCCAACAGAAATGAGGGCTTGAGACGAGCGTTCGAAGAAATGGGGAATTTTTCGGCATTGGAGTTGTGGGGAAGTGATTATTCGGGTTTTATGATGTGGAATTATTTGATTTCATCTTTTTCTGTGCATAAATTTGAGCCAATTATTGCTATGGTACTACTTCATGTAATTCTCATACAACATGTTTACTGAATGTGCTTTAATTATATGCGAATTTAGAATTGTTTTAATTTTTACCACAGATAAAAGGGAAGGACCAACAAAATTTAGATGAAGTCAGGAGTGGAACCCGTGGTCCCCCAATCCATATTCCTATGGAGCAAGGGACAACCAGGTTCCACGTCCTCGCGGTCCAAGGGGACGGTCGAGGTGTAATTCTCGAAAGACTGTGATTTCAGGAAATATTTTGAAATTGGCATCGGGAAACCGTCGAAGGGCTCTGGGATGAAAGGTGGGTTTGGGAGTGACATGGTGGAGCTGGTGTCTGAGTAGAAATTTGAACTTAGTGAAAATCCTGCAGGGTTATCAAATAATTCTGGGGGATCCAGGGCTTCAAAGCAAATTTCAAACGTGTTGGTGGAGGTGTCAGGTGTAAGTGGATGTGGTGAAGTGTTTGGTATGTGTTTGGCTTGTTTCTTCCTGTAAACACAGTAAACATCTATGAAGTAATCGCTAATTACTTGGCATACATTTATTTTGAAATATGTCATCTAGCTAAGTTCTCCATTAACAACAATGAATTCATTAGTATGAAAGCTGAAGCGCTTCATGGCCAATTCTGAATATGAAATACATTTCAATATATAACTATATATATATATATATAGCTGCTTGTGTATTCCTTTAAAAAGGCGCGCAGAATCTTAAATCAGTTCACAGACGCACAGAGAGCTACTCTAAGTAGTCAATGCCTAAATTAAATAACAAAATGAAAGTGAAAATTGAAGGATATTTAATTAAATATAAAAGCGCCATTAACAGTAATACATGTCTTCTATTCTGGTTAGAGCATCATAATTACGGCATCACAGAAAGATATTGGACATGAATAGAGCCAATCTCCACAATCCTCATTCATCCCATTGTCCGAGGTGGATAGCGCCTCTTTTTGCCTCTTTTTAACTGCCCATGGAGGTTGAGACAGGACTGTAGTTAGGTTCGAGATGGTAGAAACTTCCATCATAGCGATAATTTGTATCGTAACTGTGTATAATCTTCTGAAGATAGAAGTCCTAAACGTTTGTTCCGTTGCTGCAGGTTCCGAATTTCTGCTATAAAACCTTTAGAATCATGAGACCATCTGCTATGGCTGGTAGTTGAATAGAACGAATTCCTTTTATGACCTCTAACATGCCCTTCAGCTTAACGGCATCAATCGCAGTCTCTGGTGGTCCAGAAGGTTCAAGTGACATTCTACCCAAGTCGAATTAACGGTTTTAATTGCATATGCACTGTAAAGACTTTACAGCTTTCCCCTAGAAGGCCGTCATTCTCTACCTCATCCGATCAGTTCTAACCTTTTGTCCATAAAACTGTTATTATAGCTTTAGACGAAATTAGGATACGGCGCATCATTTTGAAAGAAGGAATTTTCCACAAAACAACTATTTTAAAATTAATACCGTGCCTATATGGCTTGTATCATTTTGAAAGAAGAAATTTTCCACAAAACAACTATTTTAAAATTAATTCCGTGCCTATATGGCTTGTATCATTTTGAAAGAAGGAATTTTCCACAAAACAACTATTTTAAAATTAATTCCGTGCCTATATGGCTTGTATCATTTTGAAAGAAGGAATTTTCCACAAAACAACTATTTTAAAATTAATTCCGTGCCTATATGGCTTGTATCATTTTGAAAGAAGGAATTTTCCACAAAACAACTATTTTAAAATTAATTCCGTGCCTAGATGGCTTGTAGAAATTAGAGGGGCGATGTGTATTTAATTTACCTTTTTACCAAATATATTGAGAGTATTATGGTGCACTTGCATGTGCACTTTAAGGACTTACAGATTACCTCTAGACGGACGAAAATTTCCTTTGAACCTCTCAGTTTAGGCTCAACTTTCTGCCCCTAAAACTGTTATTATAGTTCTCTAAGCTCTAGACGGAATTATGATACGGCGCATCATTTAATAAAAGGGCATTTTGCATAAAACAACTATAATTATAATAATTCCGTTTCGTGCGTAGAGAGCTCGTAGAAATTTGAGGTGCGGTGTACTCATTTATTGATCACACCATATGTTTATATATTTAGAGAATAGATGAGGAATTTAGAGAGTGCAGCGTAATATACATAATTATTACTAGTTTCATCGCTTTTATATATATGTACCAAAAGTAGAACCTAGTTTGTAATACACCTATCCCCCGATTTACACGGTACTTGTTTTACACGTTTTCGCTTTTACACGGTTTTCCAAATAAGTTTTTTTTTTTGTTTTTATCGCACTATACTAAATGCTACTGTGATTGAACACATGCGCTGTGTACATATCTCACGAGGAATCCCGAGCTTATGTGCTGACTACCTATTTTAACCTGTCAATGCATTTTATTTTAATTTCTGTGTACACCTATCCCCCGATTTACACGTTTTTCTCAAGAACGTATCTACCGTGTAAATCGGGGGATAGGTGTATTGGAAAACTTAATAGCGGTGATGCATTATGAGCTAAAAGGCCAGTTTAAGAAAATGCAGGCAAGCTATTTAGGACTATGACCTTATCAGTACAAGGACAGTTACTATAGAAGTTGCTGCTTATTCTTTATCTCCACGTTTAGAAATGGAAGATAAATGCATACTGATGAGGGCCATTTCCGCCAGCAACGGCACGGGATCGAATCCCGCATTGGAGAATTTTTTTTTCTTAATAAAAAATTGCTCCAATGACTATCGATTCTTGCAAAAATCCAACTCTACAAGTGAATGTGAGTAACCAAACACGGCTCTGGGACATTTTTAAGTGGAAAGGTCGAATTGTTTTCAATATGTGTAGATTTGTATTGCACTTAGAGTAAAGGCAAGCTACTAGCTACCATGATTATCATGTCCTGTACCACGTGTACAAGAAATAATTTACAAAGGGTTACTTTTTGTAATGTTGTGATAAAAATAAATACATTATGAGTCTAAAATATAAATAAAGACATGAATTCGCACACACTTTGTCATACAGCTTCAGTGGGATAAAACTGAAAGAATAGCTGTCTTACTGGACCCGTTGGTTGAACGGCCTAGTGCAAACTTTTGAGTCGGAGGAGCCGAAAATTACAATTTACAAAATTTCAAAGTTTTTAAAGAGCCACAACATTTTTTCTTGCCAACAATAAATAGTACTCGCATAAATAATATTTACGTATTAAAATATACAAGTATCAGAGTCATCAAGCAACAATTCTTAATCAATTCTGTCACCGTTTGCTTTTGTGAATGGAATAAATACCCAAATATGGCCATTTCTTATAAGCATCGGTAGTTCAATGCGAGAATGCTCTCCTGCCACGCGGGCAGCCCGGGTTCGATTCCCGGCCGATTCATTTTTTTTTTTACAATTTTTAAAACTCATTTATTTAAACTATATTAATTTTGAAACAACTAAATGGATTGCAAAAAATAATTAAATCAAATACCTAAACATTAATATAATACAATTTTTGCCATTACACACTTTTTTTCCTGTAGTTTATGTGTTTCTTCTGTATTGCTATTCTATGGCACTTCTACTATTTATTATTGATGTACTTTCAGTATGAAGGATACTTCACTCGGGGGATTTCACGGGCGAAGCCGGGTCATTCTTCTAGTGGAACTATATAAAGAACCGCAGCTTCACATCCAAAAAGCACCTGGTCTAGTGTGTTACTCTTTTGCATATCACACTGGGGAAGGAGGGGGGGGGAGAATAGAAAGTTAGGGCCAGAAGGTATTGATGAAATATCATGAATAGATGTAAAGGCTATTACATAGACCAAATTATTAAACAGCGAAGAATTTGAATTGAACAATTTTTACACGTTTTTCATACAAAATTTAAACATTTCTCACAAGCTACAATAATTTATTTGAGCCAAATTCCATGTTTATTTTTCAAATTCAACTTCCAGGTGTGAAACTTATTATTTTTCACTACAAGAGTAATATGATGCAATAGCGCGCCATCTGTTATGAAAATTGAAAACTATTATAGATGTGTAAGATTATTTGAATTTAAAATAATCATACGCGTCTATAATAGCTTCGAATTTTCACCACTAGAAAATATAAATTTGAATATTTTAATCTATTTGATATTCATTTCCATAAAATAAGGTGAAATCGTAGCCACCCCAGAACTTATGAGGACTATAGTTCGAAATAATGGTATAATACGAGCTTCGTAGCTTCAAACATTGCTCGAGCTCTATATACAGAGAATATTGAAACGTACATTCTTTCAATTTCATAAAGAAATATAGACAAAGCCCATCGTTAGTAGTTCCTATATTATAATACATTAGTGCGCCATATGTTATGAAAATTCGAAACTGTTGTATATACACTGCGTGACATTGAAAATGGAACACCAAGAAATAGTGGGCAGAAAATTATGCAAATTTCAGGGTAGACGCGCCTAACCGAGTTATGCAAATGATGTTAAATGCGCAGCTCTCATGCACACATGGAGTAAGATATAAGGGAAGGAACTTGCAGAAAGGACAGTATTCGTGTCGTTATTTCTTCAAGGAAAATCATTGTAGAAATTTTGTTCTTGTGTCAAAAGACACGTGTAATAACAGAGAATGCCAGGTCATCGTAAACGGAGGCAGTTCAAGCAGACAGACACTTTTACGAGGGGCATGGTGATCGGACTGAAAAGGACAGGTTGGTCCATACGTCAAATCGCAGCTGATACACACCTTGGTGCGTCCACGGTGCACCGACTGTGGAGAAGATGGTTGGAACAAGGAAATGTGGCAATTTATAGGAATGTCGGTGCAACCAGAGTGACGTCAGCACGTGTGGATCGGCGTATCCTTCGACAAGCAGTGGCGGCCCCACAAGCCACTTGTACCGCCATCCTGCAACATGTGCAAGACACCCTAGATCATTCCATCTCGACCAGAACCATTTCCCGTCGATTGGTTGCTAATGGCTTGCACTCATGCCGTCCGCTAAGAAGACTGCCATTGACCCCACCGAAAAGGCGCCAACGTTTGGAATGGTGCCGGGCTAGATCGACGTGGATGATGGAATGGCACAGGGTCGTGTTCTCAGATGAGTCGCGTTTCTGCTTGTCCAGTGATAGTCGCCGTGAACGCGTATGGCGTCGACGTGGAGAAAGGTCCAATCCGGCAGCAATTGTGGAACGCCCCACCGTGCGACAACGTGGAATCATGGTTTGGGGCGCAATCGCGTATGATTCCAGATCACCTTTACTTCGTATTCAGGGCACTATGACGGCTCAACGATACGTTGATGATGTGCTGCGACCGGTGACACCTTCAGGGGGTACCCAATGCCCTTTATCAGCAGGATAACGCCCGACCGCACACTGCTCGCATTAGCCAACAAGCTCTGCAAGATGTACAGATGCTTCCCTGGCCACCGTACTCTCCTGATCTCTCACCAATCGAGCACGTCTGGGACATCATTGGACGCCGTTTGCATGCCTTGCCACAGCCGCGTTCAGAAGACGAACTGTGGCAAATGGTTGAGAGGGAATGGAGAGCCATCCCTCAGGACGCCATCCGTACTCTGATTGACTCTCTACCTAGACGTGTTGCTGCGTGCATCGCCGTCCGCGGTGGTCCTACTTGCTACTAAGCCGACGCCGTTCTCGCTCTGTATTATGACTATCATTTTGAAATAAAGATCACTTATTGTTCGTCCCTGTCTCTCTCTGTCTGCCGAGTTTCATCACTTTCTGGCCACTATTTCTTGGTGTTCCATTTTCAATGTCACGCAGTGTATATTAATTAATTGTTCCACAGAGTGTGTGTAAGCTCACAGGTAAATAGGCGCTAAACGAAACAGAAAAAAGTTCCTTTTGTTCAATATTAGTTTCCCTTTTATATTTTGTTATCTCTCTTGTAAATCAATAAATATAATGTTTAATTAATAATTATTGTAATCAGTTTCATTAATAATTCTAAGCAAAGTCAACAGAAACTATTATAGACGTGTATGATTCTTTTAAAAATTAAAGAATTTCTACTGCCCTTACTGCAATGAAAAATGGCGCTCCCATTCATTTTTCTATTGCAGTAAGAACAGTAGAAATTGTTTAATTTTAAAAAGAATCATACACGTCTATAATAGTTTCGAATTTTCAGTTCCTACATTCTTTAGGACGTCTTATTTATGGTTAGTTGTACCTTTTGGTTAGGTTGCATTAGATTATATTTAGGTCAGCGAGCCAGCGAAGCCGTTAATCATTTTAAAAATTCACGAAAAAGCAAAGAATTATGTGCGTTTAACATGTATTATCAATAGAAACATTTTTTTCCAAACATGCATATATTCGATATCATATGAAATTTGCTATTATGAGATATATGTTCAGAATATTCTTCGAGTTTATATACTTACGCCTTCTTTTTTTTCGCAAAAATTTTGCAAAATGGGAAACAACCGACCATGATGGCAATTCGCAATGATAGACAGACGATCAGAGAGAACTAGAGCAGATTTGCAAGAGTAAACGACGTCGAGATGATTTGGTTGCTAAGTAGTTAAAGAAATTTGAGATTAATAAAATCATTCTGCTTTATGAGGAATAATTACATTTTTTTATTTTTAGATCTAAAAAAAGGTTTTTTGGCGTTATTTCTACTTAAAACATTTAGTCAGCGAGCTCGCGATACACTAGGCTTGTGAGCTTGCCCTTGCGGCATACTGACCAATCAGAATCGGCAGGTGTACCTACTTCACTCAGAACAGTGGCATATCCTCAACCCGTATGAACGCTAGAATAAATCAAATGAACTGTGCATGCTCAAATGGATGTGGCTAGATAAATAGAATATGGAGGCATCGTCCTTCCGACATCACGGACACTTTAAGTTTAATAATATTTTCATATTGACAATTTTAAAAGGGGTGTATTAGCCTTAAATGTTGTGTAAAGGGTTGAAACATGAAAGACCCTTGAAACCCGATTTTACATTTATCTTTATTAAAAACAAAAATGGCATATACTGACCGCTCACATGTGCATTTTAGATGGCAGAGCGCCATCTGGTGGAATAAAAATAAACTAAACGTTTTTTTAGTATATTCCGTGATATACACTGGTTTCCAAAAAATAAGAAACTTTTGTTTTTTAATGATATGTTTTAAAATATACAACGCTAAAAGCTAAAAAGTAATTTAATTAGGTATTTCAAGTCGTAGAATTTATTTATCGCAACCATTCGATTCGGTAAAATTGAAAATATGCAAATTTTTGCTTGTCTTTATAAGTGTGCTATTTGGCGTGTCGTTTACCCCATCTAAGAATTGTCCAATTATAATTTCATTTAATCCTTAGTTAATTATGAGTTTACGAAAAATTTTAGCATATAATTTAAAATGGAGAGCTGTTGGAAGAATGGAAGCAGGGCAATCACAAGTTGAAGTAGCAAAATGGCTAAATGTGAATAAATCTGGTCAGCAAAATATGGAAACAGTTCATTGAGACAGAAACCATCAAAAGAAAAGAAGGTTCTAGTAGAAAAAGAAAAACAGCTACCTCTGAAGACCGTTATCTGGTCGTAACTGCCAAGCGCCATAGGGAGATGACTGCTATTCAACTCTCTAATGAACACTCAAGTGCTACTGGAACGAGAATTTCAAGACAAACTGTTTACCGAAGGCTTCACGAAGGTGCTCTTTATGCAAGACGACCAATGGTCTGTATCCCTTTAACCTCTGCTCACAGGAGAGCCCGCTTGAATTGGTGCTTGGAACATCACGCCTGGACTCATGATCAGTGGGCCAATGTTCTCTTCAGTAACGAGTCAAGATTTAGTTTAAACACAGATTCTCGACGAGTTTTCATCTGGAGGGAGCCTGGAACCCGCTATCATCCCAGTAACATCAGGGAAATAGACAGTTTTAGAGGGGGCAGTCTCTTAGTCTGGGCTGGCATCATTTCTAGCAGACGCACACCCCTCCACATTTTTTCTGGGGGCACCTTAACTGCCCAAAGGTACAGGGACGAGATCCTTGAGCCCTATCTAAGACCTTATAGAGATCAAATTGGTCACAATTTAATTTTTATGGACGATAATGCTCGTCCGCATAGGGCTAGGCTAGTCAATGAATATCTCCAGAGTGAGAATATTCGAAGGATGGATTGGCCAGCCAGATCTCCGGACCTGAATCCAATAGAGCATGTGTGGGATGATCTAGGGAGGCGTATTGGAGCTCGTCACCCCTCTCCCAGAACCCTCGTTGAGCTAAGAACTGCTCTATTGGAGGAGTGGGGTTTACTACCCCTGGACCTCCTCCAAAGCCTGGTAAACAGTATGAGGGCTCGCTGTGAGACCTTGATAGCTGTTAGAGGTGATCATACTCC